TGCGGATCATCTCCAGCGTACGGGGCCATCACAGGAGCAGAAAGAGCTGCCCGCAAGCAAAACAGCCCCATCTCATCGCTGCTACTTCCCCATGCTAATCCTCCACGAAAAAAAGGCACGTGGTTAAACCCTGCACGTCACACACACGAGGCTATTTTTAACTTGTGCATTAAATGAACAGGGAATGAATTTGTCAAGTGGAGTTTGGGACGGGCAAGACGTCAAAGCAGAGGCAGTGCTCGTGAAACCCAGCTGGTTCAGCCAGGGTCGGTGTTGGCTGGAGCGGGATTTTTCCCTTGTTTTGTGGGTTAGTCATAGGTTTGTTTATTTTTTTAGAGGGTTGTGTTTTTTTTTTTAATTATTCATCTGTTGCAATCACAGCAGACACATCATTTCACAGCCCTACATGGAAATCCAAGACCAAGGAACTATTTTTAGCACACAAAATGTCTCCCCTAAATGTATTAACTTTGGAAGAGTAAATATTAAATACACTCTCATCACATTAGAGGAGTTTATGCAGAAGTACAGCACCAGCATTTTTAATGGTTAGGGGAAATTACGTTATACCAGTAGCACTTAATGAAACACAATAAAACGAGATCCTACTGCAGTTCTTTCAGGATAAGTTGAAGGGCAATTAATTCATTTTCACATCCATCGCTGATGATTTACTGATACTGGGGCATATTTGCCCCATTAGTATTTATGGTGGCACTTGCAATCCTTATAAAAAACATATAGGGGATAGCCTAACATTTATTCTGCAATTAAACTGAAACGATTCTTCGCCTGCTCGCTCCCGATCGAGGCATTCAGCTCTGGCTGTGACGAGGGTACTATAGGCAAACCCCAAGCAGGCAACACAGGGAAACCCTATGTGCTAGAAGTGCCTATAAATATATATGTTTTTAATAAGAATGGCTTTTTGTAACTTTATTGGGGAAGTATTTCTCAGGCTGGGCTGTAGGAGAAGGATGCGGTGCTGCTGGTGGAGCGCCGGTGCCCCAGGGCTGGCTGTCCCTGCTCCGTTGGGTGCCTGGAAAAACAGCAGCGACCCTTGTGGCTGGTGGCTCGGGGACCGGTGCTGGTGGGGGTGCTGCCCGGGTTTGGGTACCCAGGGTTTGGGTCCTGTCCTCGTGGAGCTCCTTGCTGCACCTCGCTCCTGCAAGAGCCAGCTGGTTGGGTTAGAAGGTGCTTTCCTAAAAAGAAGGATGCCAGAAATACGGAGCTGAGCTATTGTTGGTAGGTTGGTTTCATTGTCGTCTCGGTTATCGTCTCCAGTGTGGGCTCTCTGGGAAAGGAGGGGTGTACAGAGGCGACGTCGTCCTTTTAGATGCCCCAGATTTTCTTCCCTCTTCCTTTACTTCCAGGCATTTGGGTTCCATTTCCCATGCCCATTGCCACGATACATCTAGCCAGACCATCCCAGCTATCTCCGCTCTAATACAGGTGCCAGAGGCAGGGATGCATCTTCCCAGGAATTTGGCTAGCTCTCTCTTCCATGAGGCTCAGATAGTTTGGAGACAAAATCCTCGCCGGTTTGTAAGGACGTTGCCCCATGCTGTTCGGCATCAGACCTCCCAGGCCTGGCCGTGCTGTGTGTGATTTCCCCTCGGATATTTTGGGAGTATCCCAGGGCCAGGAGCATCGCCAGGGCTTGAGGGTAAATCAGGGGAGTCAAACCAAAGGGTTTTTCTCAAACCAGGAGCACGGAGGGCTGGCCTTTCTCCCTGCTTTATGAAATCGAACTCTTCAATATCTCCCCGCTTAGAACAGGTGAAAAACTTATTACAGAAGGCAACTCTTGAACCGGCTCTGGACAGACAGGTTCATGCATGATGCTGCGGGCATCGCATCTGCGCCGTAAGGCTCCGTGGACCAGCCAGGAGTTCGAGTTCATCACTGGGGTGCCTCAGGCACTGCGAGCAATAACACAGCCCAGTAATAAAATCCTTACTTTGCAATAAACTGATCCTTTGCCTTTTCATTTAAGAGCAAAATATAAGGCCATGGTAGTTTAAAGGCGGAGTTCCTTCCCTCCTTCCCCCGCTCCCCAGAAGCCCCAGCTCAGATTGATGGTTTTAGAGCCGTCTTCTCCGTGCACCGTGATTTCCCTGATTAATCACTTCGGTAATAAATTGAACAAAGTATGTCTATTAAATATCTCATTTTCTTTCAGCAGCTTGGGCACTTGGTCAATTTTACAGAGGAAAAAAAAAGGTGCCGGGAAATGCCAAAACGGTAAGCCAAAAAAGCCAATGGCCAGCGATTCCTTGATGACTAATTGCCCGCCCAGATGAAGCGGCCGCGCGCTAATGTGTCCCACAGCTCGCGGGGGGATTTCCTGGCGCCCAGCCCCACCGTGTCGAGTACTGGCTGAAATGAAGCGACGCCCTTGCCCGTGGCCTCCAAGGCGCCTGTGCGTGTGCAGGGAGACGTGGGTCCCATTCAAGCGACAGTTTTGAAGGCTGGCTGGATGAGCCCTGCCTCTCCCACCACGCTTGGCACGGGGAGGTGCGACGGAGGGTCAGCCCCGGCGCCCACCTGCCCGCAACCCACAGCAGCAGGAAAACAAGCAGCGTGTTACGAACAGCGACACATTGCTGTAGTATTTTGGATTTCACAGCTTGCTTTCGCTCCCGTGAATAGCAAACGTAACAGCGCGTTTCCCCGCATGTTATGCCGGCTGCTGGTGCAAGGGGCTGCTCCTCCGAACCTCCCGTCTCCCAGCGGCCCCCCCCCCCCACCCGCCTGCTCACTCCCAAGCAAAACAAGATTTAAATCTCCAAGAGAAAGGTCCTTACCTTGAATTACAGACACTTTCAGGCACTGGGGACTTTGTGAACACCTTCTTGCTTGGGCCCTCCCCTCCAGCACCGACAAAGCTCTCCAGCTGCGCTCCCCAAGGGCTCGCTGAGGTCTGACGACGGAAATGGAAACGGAAACACAACGGAAATTCGGAAATTCCCTGTTCCCGGGCAGACAGTGGCTGCATCAGCAGGGACGGACCGACCAGCTCCGGACCAGCTCCGCATCCCCACGCACAGAGCTGCATCCCCTGGGATGCTCCAACGGGCCCTCTGGTCCCCGGGTAAATTTGCTCTGCGTGACCTTGCTCACTACACCAACACAGAGGCACACAGAAAACACTGCTTTATTGACTGCATTTGCCAACACATTGAGGAATGCAAAGGGGTTTTTTTTTTTCATAAGCAATGGGCCATGGTCCCAATGTGTATTAAAGCATACACTGTATCTAAACAGGATGAAAATAATGGCAGACAGAGCTATTCCAAGGCAACACAAATAGCATGCATAATACAGTCTCACACAGAACGAGTTTGATAACATTATATTGCTTTAAGGATTAACTAACATGGAAAATGTACAAAAAGGAGAAATAGGTTTTTGCATTAATGAAAAATACATTTTTTCTCTACAAAGGAATTTCTAATACAAGAAAATAAATATTGCAACATAAGCCAAAAATAATTTAAAATTGCTCTTTTCAATATATTTTCAATATTTCTCTTTTATATTAACAAATGGCACATCACGTTCTTTGAAACAAAGAAAACAGAAGGGTTTCTCCTCCTGCGACATTCATATCGTTTCCTGTAACTGATGTGAAGTGGGTCTGTTTTGTATGTGGAATGGCGCAAACTGCGGGGGGATTTCCTTAAAGAACAACCAAACCTCACGCCCTGCAGCAGCATCTTCCCGCTGGCGGCTGCTCCCGCATCCCGCTCTCGCCTCCCGGCTCCGTTCTGCACCCCGCCTTGGGGCGAGCTCCGTGGGGCAGCAGGCATCCAAACCCCGTAAAATAGGTGCAAGCAGAAAAAAGAAAAAAAAAAGAAAAATTAAAAAATGGGTGTGGGGAAAATGGGTGTGTGGAATCGGAGCTGTCCTCGGGATACTCCCGCAGCCATCGGGGCTGGGGTTGATGTTGGGGCTGTGCTCCACGATCAGGGCACGATGCTGTTTGCATCCTCATCTCAACTACAACGGCTGCTGCTTCTCCAAGGAAACGGGTGCTCTTACAGTGCAAATGTCGATTCCTGCAGTTTATACATCTTAAAAGACAATTATTTCTCTACTAAGATAAACCCTTTTATTTTTTTCTTTCTGTTCATTTCAAAATACATTTACAGTAACATCAAAAATATTTTCCTTGTGCATTTTTCTCTCCTGAACGCCAGGCTCCCCTGCTCTGAGGTGGTGGTGGGAATAAACCCTTTTATTTTTTTCTTTCTGTTCATTTCAAAATACATTTACAGTAACATCAAAAATATTTTCCTTGTGCATTTTTCTCTCCTGAACGCCAGGCTCCCCTGCTCTGAGGTGGTGGTGGGGATGCGCCGGGCAGGGAATGCACCGGGGTGGCCACAGCCGTCCTGCTGCGGTCCAGCCCTCGCTCAGGCCCGCAGCTCACGAGAGCCCCTTAAAAAACCAGTCCTCCCACCCCGTTCTTCTCCCCGGGTTTGATGTGCCCCACCAGCCCCCCTTTAGCTTTCCCCACCTAAACACCGTCTCCCGATGGCAAAATACGACGCCTGATGTTTTGGGAGTGTTTCCAACTGTTTTATTGCCTGGTGCTGGCGGCGCCGGGTTGGTTGTTCTTTAAAGTCTCCCCCCCCCTTTTTTTTTT